CATCTTCTTATACTCAGGTAGGTATAAGTTTCATTATTATTTACCAATCCATAAAGTTTCTTTATGATACTTAGGTTCTCATACCCAACCACTGCCCAACCCTGTCTGCAGAAAAATACAACAATCTGATATTATAGACAAATTTATATATGCTGGAATGTATTAGGATAGAACCAGAGTTTAGAGACATCTGGCCTTCATTCATCTTGAATATATGTTTAAATTTATCTCTTTTGTTGCCCATGATAATTGTTCATTCTTAATATTAAATAGTGTAGCATTGTATAGCTACACGGCAAGTTTTATAATTTAGTTTATTTCATGTGTATATATGCTTGCCTACATATAGGTATGAAGAGCGCATGCATGCCTGTTGCCCATGGAAGCCAAGAGAGGATATTGAATCCCTTGGCACTGGAGTTAACAGTTGAAAACTGCCATGCTGGTTTTGGGAAATGTGTCTTTGCCTGTTGCCTGTTGCTGAGGTTGTTTTCAATTTCAGTGTCTTGTATATAAAGCTGTTGTGAACTGAAATAAATAAGTCTTTAAAAGAAAATATGTCCTCTTTCTCCAGGTTATATATTTGGGTTGTGATGGCCAGATGACAATTAACATATGAAGAAACAGAAAAAGATTTTTCCAAGTTATCATCCTGTTTTCCATGGCCACCAGCAGTGGGTATGGGAGAGTCATCCTCCACAAACTTGCCAGGTCTTTGTATGACAAGTCTTTATTTCTGAGTATTTTATGGGGTTGTCTAGAGTCCCCTCAGAGTCACCTGTTGATGGAGGAAGGTCATTGGCTAATAAAGGAACTGCCTTGGCCCATTTTATTGGTTAGAAGATAGGTGGGAGGAGTAAACAGAACAGAACGCTGGGAGGAAGAGGAAGTGAGCTCAGACTCCACAGCTCTCCTCTCGGGGGCAGAAGCCTCAGAGAGACGCCATGCCCCGCTCCTGGGCAGACACACGAGATGAAGCTCCGACCTAGAATCTTCCCGGTAAGACCGGTGCTCACAGATTATTAGAGATGGGTTGATCGGGATAACAGAATTAGCCAGTAAGGGCTAGGACTAAAGGGCCAAGCAGTGTTTAAATGAATACAGTTTCCGTGTAATTATTTTGGGTAAAGCTAGCCGTGGGGGCGGCCGGGTGCCGGGGACGCAGCCCCGCCGCCCTTATTACTACAACCTGTCTCTCTTCCCTAAGTGTTAAGGATGTTGCTGCTGTATGTTTCTCTGAGTGGAGCATCTACTCACCCTTCTGGTCAAGTTTTATTTCCTGAATTGTCTATTTTCTTAGTGTCTCCTTTAGAAGCTTTCTGTATTCTGGATAAAAGAAGACTGTCATCTGATATACAATTTCCCACATTCATTTTCCCAGGTAAGAAAAATATGTTTCTATCATATATTTGGAAGAATAGATATTTTCTCACTTTATGGAATTCATAACACTCCAGTTCTTCATTTAATGAAAGGGGGTTTGCCATATCTAAGAAGTTTGTTTGTAATTCATGAACCTGAACATCCAATTGTATTCTGCTACAAGATTCATGTTTAGGTTGTAATTTGGACTTCTTTTAGGTTTATTTTCCCTATTTACTGAGGGTCTGCCTGTATGTCTGTGTGTGCCAAATACACGTTTGAGTGCAGATGCCCACTGAGACCAGAAGAGACTGTCAGTTCCCCTGGATCTGGAGTTACAGACATCTGTCACCCACCATATGGGTGCTGGAAACTGAAGTCAGGTCCTCTGCAATAGCAAAAGGCACTCTTAACTTTTGAGATGTCTCTCTAGTCCTGTGTAGATCATTTGTTCATTCTCGATTGACTTTTGTATCCTGCGATATACGATAGTCTATATTTATATTTGTGCATGGGGAGGTCTGCTTGTCCCAAAATAAGACAGAAAGACAGGGCATTGAAGGGGATATGAGAGGGAACACACAGCCCCTCACCCTGTAATCATTTTTACATTTTCCTGACATTCAAGAGACCTCAAGCCAACTGATAGAGCCAAAATTACCTGCAGATATGATGCAACTATTCCTAAAGACATCCCAAATAATGTTTAAAAATAACAACAAATAAACTAGAGTCTGAAGATAGGGTTCATTCTTTAATATCACTGGATGTCTTCCAGAGGATCCAGGGTTGATACCCAACCCTACCCGATGGTTCACAACTGTCTGTAACTCCAGTTCCGAGAGATCTCATAAAGTCTGGTACTGTCTGTGGGCATTAGGTACTCACGTGGTGCACAGACTTCCCTGTGGAAAAGCATTCAAAAGCAGAAAATAAAAAACGCAGTTATGCTTTCTTAGGGGCAGAATACTTGTAGCCTTGAGATGGATGATGATAGCACTCTATTCTATCGCCTAAGTCACATAATCACCTTACAATTTAATTTACTGAAAGAAACTTTAAAAGGAATAAGCACATTTAAAAGCATTGCTTTTTAGTTTCATTTTTTACTTTTTAATAACCTATTGAATATTTTTTTCCTAATGGAAAAATAGAACCCATTTAAAGAGTAAAAATATTCTTATAGTTAATTTAAAAACCTGAATATAGGCTTTAATGTAATTTAATCTTGAAATTTTCTGAATTACATTCTTTCAGCAATGTAACTTTAGAGCCATAAAAATCCTCCCATTTCTCCCTCTCCCACTGTACCTCCCTCCCTGCCCACCTCACATACCCTTTGCAATGACACCTAATCTCAAGTCTCTCTCCAGTCCACTCTCAGGCCATCATGCAGGAGCCATCCTTATTCTGTGTGAGCTTCTATCCACAGGATTAATAAGCTCACAACCTTTGCTTCATCCTGGCTGTTTCTGAAATTCTTTACTGCTTCCTAGATTCATCTTTACCAGGGTCAAGGTCATCAAAGCGACAGGGTTATCCTCAGGCTGCTGGTCACTGTGCTGGGCTGTACCTCCCTACCACCACCAAGAGTCCCAGAAATCCTCGGTGAAGAGCATATGCCTGCTTCACTGAAGTGTCTTTGAGTCTTTGCTAAAGGTGTCCCCTCACACATGTGTGACACTTCTGTCCCCTTCATATTCTTTTCTGTCTTATTGTCATTTCCAATCAGGCACGCTGTCTACATTTCTCTAGGTTTATAAGGAGTTTGGAAGTCAGGTGTTCATCCTCCAAGTTTGTTCCTTTATAAGGTTGTTTCAAGCTGGGGTTCTTCATATTCACTGTGAGTTTCAGGATAAGCCCATTAGTTTATGAAAAGTCTGTTAGAGTTCTGTTGGTATTGCACTGGATCTATAGGACTGTATGAGGAGAACAGACACCTGTATCTTCCATTGCATGAAGATGATTGTAGCGTGAGTTCTAATTGGTCTTAATAATAAAATCTGGAGTCAGATATTAAGTGGTTGGAGCTATAAGATCAGAACAGCAGAGCAGCCAGACACTAGATCTTTCCTCGACAAAATCCTCAGACCAAATGGAGCATCCTGTCTCTACAAGACCTCAGACTGACTGCCTGGATCTCCTATCTCCTCCCACCTTATATTCCTCTCTTTTCCCAGCCACATTCCTTTCATTCTCCATCTCCCTCGTGCTGGGATTAAAGGTGTGTGACACCAAAGCACTTTGATGAAAGATGTGAGTCACCACTGCCTGAATCTGTTTCTTTTTTAGACTGGATCAATCTAATGTAGACCAGGATGGCCTTGAACTCACAGAGTTCTGTTTCTTAAGTGTTGGGAAAGGTGAGTTCCAACACTGCCTGTCTTCTGTGGCTAACTAGTGGCTATCTGTACACACTGATTCTCAGGCAAGCTTTATTGTCATGGAAGAAACAAAATATCGCCACAGTCGATGAATCTATACATCTTTACTCTCAGCAATGAGTTGTCCCATTCAGTGTCTAGGCACTACAGAGAAGTGGGCAGGGTTTTCCTAATTATTTCATATTTCCTGATGCTATCTCCAGTGACAGGGATTTTAAATTACAGCCTCCACACATTCATTTCACTGTGGTCAGCTGTCTGTGTTAAATTTAGACAGAGTTATTGATGAATCTTTTAGGTTAAAATATTTAATTACATTCTCTATGATGAAAATGTCTTTGATGCAAACATATATTTGCTGTGTTTAAAATTCAGTACTTTGAAGTTGCAAGTGAATTATGAGAACAGAAACAAATGTCCAACACCCAGTTTGGGGGAAAATTTCTAAGGCAGCCACAGGTCAAAGGTTTGCCCCAATGGCATCTTTGGAATCATAGAGATAGTCCTTTACCTCCCAGCTAGCTCCATCAGGGAGGTGCTGAGATCACGGTGGAGAGAAAGAAGGGGATACATGTGAAGAGTTAGGTATGTATGTGTAACTCCAGAAAGGTTTGTATTATGAAGAATACTTAGGTAATTATTTTCAAAATATCTAATATTATTTTCCCCAACACAAAAAGGAAGAGGTTAGTACTCGTGTGTTTTCCCTCTTGTTTTCCCATCCAGTCATGCAGATTTTAGCAGTGTTGCTGTGGACTTGTACAGAGGGGGTGTTTTATGTATGGTTCTTTCCATGTTTATTATAACCATGACGCCTGCTAAGTGTTGCTCTGATACCTACTTCCCTGTGCAGTTACTAGTATACAAGCATTGCTTGTCTTTGAGTAAAGTTTCCCTTTTATCTTTTGTTTATTAATGGATTTACTCATGCGTTTGTGTCTACTCAGAAACACCCATTTCTTAAAGGAGTACTCCTTTGTCATCATTATATACTGTGATGCTTAAATTATCCCATAACATGCCCGTGGGAGTACATTCAAGAGGACCTGCTCTTCATTTGTTATCTGTCTAGAATTCTGGATTATCTGACCACCCCTGGGAAGAAAGCCAAAAGCAAATGCTTCTTGTCAGTGATACTTTGTGTCCTCTGCCTATCAATGTCAGGTCTCTTCTATGAGAAGAACAGCAGGACTGCAGAGAGAAGACGCAGAATGTTGACAAGAAGCTGACATGAGCCCTTGTTTCTAGTATGTGAGTCATCATTGCCACCAATGTGAGTGTGTGTGTGTGTGTGTGTGTGTGTGTGTGTGTGTGTGTGTGTGTGTGATGTGTACATGGCTGTGTATAAAGGGTCTGTGAAATGAACAAAGAAGAGGAAGATGTCACTGCACATCTTTGACTTGACTGGATGCAGACAGACTACTCCATCCTTATATTCAGTACAGTAGAGTGACAAGATCATGTGGGACTCACCAGGTGAGTCATTTCCTTTTCTCTTCCCATCTGTGTGACCAGCAGCTGGTCTGTGATGCCTTATAGGAACACATCCTGTTGAGCAGGTCGCAGCAAAGAGCAGCACACTGTGAAACAATGGCATTCATAGACTCCCCAGATGACTGAACCCTGTAGGGGTCCCTTTAAATGACCAGGACTGAAATGGAAGCAATCCCCATCAGACCATTTCCCCGAATGGGCCATGCATGACTGCATCACATTTGGAGGGATTGCTTATTAAGATGGTAGAAATCTGGATCCACAACAGACACTGAATCATGCTTATTAAAATGGTAGATATCTGGGTCCACAGCAGACACTGATTCAAACCCTGGGAAGTGGGGTGTGGCATAGCCACTTCTTTCTGATGGCTGTCCATGTTAAAACGTATTGCTAGTGTGTTTGATATTCTGTCTTCCAGGATATGAAGTCACAGACTGCTTAAGTCCATACCATGTTCTCTTGTTACTGCCTTAAATACCAGTGTGTTGCATGGCATATCAAATAGACAAATCAATTCCTTCGTGTACGTTTATCCAGATATTCACATAGTGGCCTCTTTAGTGAACACCTTGTTCCTGCACTGTGAAGACTAGCACGGGTCCTTGTATATCGTGTTAGATAGGCAAACTGTCAGTAAGCAGAAGAAATCAGTAATCACAGCAATTCCGTGTATTATTGGCGCTTTAAAGATCATAAAGGGGACAGGAAATAGTTGTGATGGGGATTGTCGTATGTGATGTTACCCCCAAAGGTTTCAGAAGTTAGCATGTGATCTGAGTCCTGAATGGCAAATAGAAGCAAGACCGTGCACAAACCAAGTTGTGGGCGTGCTTGCTTCCATGGAGAACAGTGGATCTAAGAGCAGAGAACAAGGCTAGTTGCCAGAACCTTGAAGACAACGTGGACACTGCTTGGGGATAGGACAGAAAGGAAAATGTTGTCATTGTCAGCTGTGTATGACATTTGGATTATATGATCTGTGTGGAAGGTGAGTTATGGAATTGTCATGATATGTTTCCTTTTGGTACAAGGTGACTTGGCACTGAACAGAGAAAGGCCTGGGGAGGGCGGGATGAGGTAGTGTGTGGAGACAGTGGAGATGGTTCCGAAGACAGGGGAGGGATGGAGGTATGAAAGAGGGATGAAGCCATGCTGCAGTGATCAGCAGGAGAGCTGCCCTGTGCAGCCTTGTCTGGGAGAGGGCAGATAGCACCTGGATGCGCTGTGCATTTTCCTTGTGGAGACATTGCTCTAACATCTCTGGATTTGTCTGACCACATGGAGACACAGTGCTTCCATTTACTGACATCAGTTATTCCACGTGTATTGACACAGGATAGTTTGAATACCCAAACTAGTCATTGTAAAACTTAACAATTTGATAACGAGTTGCTGATGAATAATTTTCAGATGTAAAGTTTTCTAAGTACAGCTAACCGTAGCATAATTTCCAACAGAATAAGAATCTAACATTTGTCTCTTAAAAAGTGAACCCAAAATTCAGTGTATTTTTGAAAATGGCTGTTCTACAGCATGTACTGCTCTTGGCAGGTTTACAGATGAAGGAAGTGAGTAGGTTTTAGGCAAAGTTGAAGTGAAATCAGTCTCTAAATTCTGCAGCAACTGTTTGTCCCTATTTCTCCAGAAGAAGACTGCCTTTAGAAATGCTTATTTTTGACAGCTGGGCATGGAGCAAACATTCACAAGACAGAGGCAGTTGGATGTCTGAGTTCAAGGCCAGCCTGTAATTCCAATTGCATATATCAACATTAGTCTGTCACATATGCAGGAACTTGTGACTGGTATTTAAAGCAGGTATTATCACTAAAGACCCCCAAATTAGCACATGAGCAGTGTGATGCTCTCAATTCACAGAGTGGGAAGCACAGCTCAGAGCAGAGGGTCTCACTCTGTTTTCTCCTCACAGAAATTCCCAGCCTGTGTTTGGAGAATGGGTCCAGGACATCCTGGCTCAGGGAACCAAAGTTGCTGGGGCTAGGAAGGTCCCACATCTCTCTGACTCTAGAAAAGTGGTTCAACCTGTGACTTGACCCCTTCAGCAAACGTCTATCTCCAAAACTATTTCCATTGTGATTCTTACCTGTAACAACTTTACAGCGATGATGAAGCAACAGAAATAATTTTCTGGTTGGGATCACCACGCATGAGGGACTGTATTAAGAGTCACGTCACAGCATAGGAAGGCTGAGAACCATTGCTGTACAGACATCCAAACGCAGAATCCGGCTTCTCAGATATCTCTGGGATCCCTTCATCATTGTCCCCATACTCCTAGGGAGGCACAGCCCCACATCAGGACACATACACTCACATCTCCGTGCAAGGGAAATCCTGTTCTTCTTTCTCCGTCATTTCTATTTCCACACACTATGCTATATTTCCAAATTTTCTTTTTTTATGTCTTCAGTACTGAGCTTAAGGATGTGTCTGATTCTTTGACCAACCTTTTTCCTGTTTTGTGATTCTTCTGCAGGGTCTGGGTCATTGGCTGTGCACACACATCCACAGACAGTACAACAACAGCCTCTAGTCCCTTGTTGCTGACCTTTGGGAAGCTGGGCATGTAAGGTAGGTTTGCTGGCAGGAGACATGCTCTCAGGAACAGGATGTCCTTGCCAGAGGCTGGACTCGAGGATGCTACAGCACTTAGATCTGCCCAGCATCTGACGGCCCTGTCCCAAGCTCTTCACAAATGTGGTGGGAGCACATTTGGGGATTTTTAAAAGTGGTCCCTAGACACTGCTATTGCTCCCCTGGCTGTGCACACATTCCCAGCTATATTCTTGATTTCTCTGGTAGCTGTTCAATGAGAATGCTATACCATGAAAAGAAATCACTGGTGAATTTAAAAAGCCACAGTATGGGAACTGGCGACATAGCTCTCGTGGCAGAATGATTGCCTAGAATGGAAATTGCTCTGTGTTCTTTGACCCTCTGGGCATGTTCACCCTCACCTGTAATACCAGCACTCAAGGCGTAGAGGGAGGAGGAAAGAGACAAGAGAGTCATTACTGTTTATGAGAGTATGGCTCCCAGCCCCCATGGCAGATAGCTCACAACTGCCTTTAACTCTAGCCCCATCAGGAGTCAATGCCTCTGCCAATCATGTGCATACCACAGACAGACAGACAGACATAATTAAAAGTATAACTAAAATCTAAACAAGAAAAAAAAAGAAGCATCAACTCCAGGTCATTGACCAAGGGGAAAACACAGTGGAATTTAAAATATGAACATTATAAAGGCTAACGGAATCTAACAGTCTACAGTCTGGCAGGGGAGATGACTCAGTGGTTCAGAGTGCATTCTATTGTTGCTGAGGATCCAAGGTAGTTTCCAGCATCCATTTCCAACATCCTTGAAGGACCATACCTCAGCTCCAGGAAGGTATGACCTCTCCTGACCTTTGGAGGCACAGGAATTCATGTGTACATACACATAGGAATATACACAACGTAATTATTATTAAGTTATGTACATTTTAAAATTATGTACAAATTAAAATAATTGTTGTGAAACAATGAAGAAAAATGGTCAAATGCCAGGCAGTAATGAGAACAGTTTTCATCAGCGTTAGGTGGCAAATGCGTGCACTTCCAGCTATTTGAACACTGGGGTTACACGATCATTACTGCTAAGAAGTTTCAGAACAGCCTTAATAGCACAGAGAGGCCCTGCCTCAAAATGAAAACCAAACAAAAACCAGAAATATCTCAGAAAATGTGAAATTTCTTAGAAAAACAATCTTAGAGTACATGGTTTTTCAAGAGATGTGGATCATTATAAAATAAATTTTTGCAGGGAAATCAATGATAAAATTACTTATTTCGTGGGAATTCAACAATATACATGTAGAAATGGAATGAAAATGTTACTGGGCCGAGAAGAAAACAGTAGCATTAAGAATGTGTTTACATTAAAATGAATACTTGAGCTGGGGCAGTGTGGTAAGCTGGGAGGACCAGCAGCACTCTGAAGGCTGAGGGAGGAAGGGGAAGAGTCCCAGGCTGGGCTGGGCTGCTCTGAGACTCTGCACTAAACACACAAAATAGTTAGCAGGACTATTATCATTCCATTCACTGTGGGAAAGTTTCAGCTTAGTTCTGTCATGGGAAACCATCCTCTTTTCACTGGATGTTAGGCAGAGCCCTGTGTGTCCCTGGCAGACACATTAAAGATTACCATCCCCTAAATGGGGAAGTGACTTCCTCACCACCACATACAGCAAGGTGCACAGAAAATGGCGGCTGGGACTCTACTCAGATAGCTCACTCTCTGGAGATTTCCCTGCAGACAGCCCTGTGCCTTAGGGGTAGGAATAAGCCCAGCAACAGACACAGATTTCCTTATGGTAGTACATGTGCTTTCCTGTGGTGTTTGAAATTTCGTATCCAGGAAGGAAAGTACTTTAAAGTGTAAACTGAGAAAAATGCTTGTGCTCGGGTGGTAAAAGTGGGGCTGGGGAGACAGCTAAATCAATAAATTGCTGGCCTTGTGGGCATGAGGCCCTGAGTGTCATTCACAGAGAGCATCATCAAGAAAATGAAGTTAAACTACAGCAGGAAAAGTAGTAGGTGTGGTGGGACATGCTTGTGTGTGAAGGTGGAGGCAAGCCTATCCCTGGAGTGTGCTGCCCAGCCAACCCAGCCTGCCTTGCGTGTTCCAGGCCAGTGAGAAACCTTGTCTAAGAAAAACTTCAGGGGGATGGCGCCTGAGGTACAACACCGGAGGCTGCCTTCTATCCCCTGACCACATGCATGTATGCATACAATTGCAGAAGCACACACATATGCACACGGGCACACAACCACACACTGGATAAACGATGTTTATACCTTCTGTACTTTAGAAGTAGTCATTGTGTTCCGTTTCTGGGCAATGAAGTAGAAGGACAAATGGAATCTACTCTCATGCTCTGTGCATGCCTGTGTGCATATGTGTGTGTGTGTTTGCACACAGAGCTCCACCATCTCTATCTAATGAGGCTGCTTTATGTTAGCCTTAGACTGGGATTGGTCTCCAATCTCGGGTTTACATTTGATATACCTAAGATGTCAAGGTTTATGTACCAGGAAAATATACTGAAGTGAAAAAACACTGCTTTATCTCCAGAGGTAAGGTCCCTTCAAGTCCAGGTCACAGCCAATGTTCCCTCCCACCCAAACATAGACGCCACTGGGCCCAAGACTCTCACTGATGTAGTCCCCATTATGGCCAGGAGGTGGCATTCAAACTACATGCCTACATTTATTTTCTTTAAAGGGGCTGATGTTTTATGGAATAGCAATGCGTTTTCAGTGTGTTTGGAAACTTGATACAATACTAGAGCAGTTCCATTTATGGATTGCAGCAACTGAAGTGCTCCACAACTCACTTCATCCTCCCTGAGTGTAAAGTGGGCAGTGCACACGGGATACAGAGTGGTGCTCTGTAGAGAATATGAATGTGGTGGTCACCTTGAATCCCCTGACACTGGAATGGATGGATTTCCTAGACTTTCCATCTCCTCTCCAGGAGGCTGTGGTACAGTCCCCAGATCGCTGCCTCCCAGGCAAGTTGTATCCTGGTCAGTCACTGCCATTGTGTTGCACCATGCCTGCTGGGGACTTCCAAGAGCAACCTGGTGTTTGTGGTGTGGTTGCCATGTACTTTTCCATGAATATGGTCTGCATATGGTTTAGATGTAATATGTATTCACCCTTACGATTTAGACCAAGCTTGGGGTCCCTTCTCTGTTGCACGAATGTTTCCAAAGTATTTCCTTTACCTCACCCTCATTTTGGAGCCACTAACTAGATACTGAAAGAGAAATTATCCCCTGAGCCCTACAAGAAGAGATAACACAGAAGAAAAGAAGCAGGAACCCCAAGTCCCTTGACAGCCACAGGACATTGACTGAGCTACTGTTCTATTGCTGGGAAGAGGCGCTGTGCTGAAGAGAATTTACAGAACAAAGCATTAAATTGGGAGCTTGCTTTCAGTGTCAGAGGGTTAGTCCAGTACCATCACTGTGGGCAGCATGGCAGCAGGCAGCCTGGCAGGGCACTGTAGCAGAAACTGAGAGTTTACATCCTGATCACAGGCAGGAGGCAGAGGGCTTTTGAGTCATCAGAACTCACACCCAGTGACAAACCTCGTCCAATAGGGCCACACATCCTAATCTTTCTTAAACCATCCACCATTGGGATTGAAACATTCACCAAAAGAGGCGTATGGAGATCATCCTCATTCAAACTACCACCGACCTATAAGGGATTTCCTCTGCCCCATCAAGCTGCAGAGGGAGAATTGTGGTTGGCTGAGTACGCATAAGTGCATAGACTAGAATCGGTTCCAAGATGTCAGTCATTAATAGAAGAGACTACTGTGTGACATTTGGGGAGAGCAGGAGGCCATTCAAGTTACTTGTCGGAAATAATGTGCTCTTCAGAATACAGTAGTCCCCTTTTGGTTCTCTTCATGGATACTGAAACTGTATACTGAAACTGTAAAGGCCTTGAGCACACAGGAATTATACAAGATTTAGTGAACGTACACACACACACACACACACACACACACAAACATACATACACACACACACACTTTCTTCAGCCATGTCATCAATTTATTTCTGTGAATTAGTAGTTTATGGTGGGCCAGGCATCATCATTCTAACCCCACATCTACATGTCTCACACAATTCCTTTTTCCCTTCTTTGATCTGCTCAAGTGGATTCCCATGGAAACCATTCAAAGAGACTGCCTTAAACTGTCTGGTCCACAAAGAAAAACAAATGCTGCCCTGGGAAACCAAGGAAAATTTGGCCCATCCTTCAAATAGTGATAGCTATAAGGCCCCACCCTGCTCCTGGCTATATCTCCCTTACAGAGGGGAGGGAGGATAAACCTTGTGTGGTGTCTGTCTTGGAAGTTATCCTGGGTGCGGAATAGATTTTTTTCTGATTCTGCTTTCCATGTGATAGTGCAGTTAACATGTCTCCATACTTAACCAAGTATGGATGATCTATAAGAAAGCAATTTGTTTAAGGAGGACATTGAGGTTACACCAAGCACGTGACTTCCCTTTCCCACACTGTGGAACTAGAACCAGAGCTACAGGACACAGAGAGGAAGAGGAACCACGTCTTCAAAGACAAAGACAGGCAGAGGGTCTAGTCTGAGCATGTAACTCTCCTGATTTCAGGAAATGCTCACCACAGGTTTCTCACATAGCAGTCACCTCCTCTCAGCTCTCCCCGTGGGTAGTCTGAGAGCAAAAAGACACTCTTCTCCATTGCTGGAGAGAATGCAACTGTTCTCCAAGCCTATGGATGGATCTTATGCTAGTGAAAACCTCAAGCGTGCATTCTGGGGACCAGGGATCTTTCTTCTAAGGATCCATCCCAAAGAACACAGAAGGGGACACAAAGACTGTCAGAGCAACACTGTAGAACTCCAAGAGGAGAACTATGAAAATCGTCTGTGGGAAGGAAAGAGGGACAGCATGATCTCAGGTGTATCTAGGACTGCTTTCCTCTGCTTCCTGACAGTTTACCCATATAACACAATACTCCAAGATCCGTGGT